TTTTTTGGCCCTGCTTTTCCATTGGACGGCACTCAGCAGAGCATTCAAAAGACAGGAAAGCCTTCTAGAACTGCTTCAAAAAGTGGCAAGAATGATGGGATGTGTTTAAAGGGAGGGGGGATATTCTGGGGAATTAATGGCCATATGTCTTTTACCATAATAAATTTTTCAGTGAAATATTTACCATATTTTTGATCATTTATATACTATGAGCACCATGATAATAGACTCTAACAGTGTATTATGATTATATATATTAACTTTAAGTATAGAGAAAGAGGAGTGCATCTGTTATGGTTTAGATCTAGGATGGCTCCCAAAAGTCTCACATGTTCAGAGGTGGAGGGTCTAGAAGGCGATTGGATCATGGAGGCATTATACTCACCAGTGCGTTAATCCACTGTTGAGTTCATAGCTGAATGTGTGCTGCTAGGAGGCAGTGCCTTGGAGGGGGCAGGTCATTGGGGTGTGACCTGGAGGGGTATATTCTTGTCCCTAGTTTCTTCCTTCTCTTTCTGCTTCCTGGCTGCCATGGGTCGCACAACTTTATTCCACCACGCTGCTTCTGCTTTGGAGCCAGCTAATGATGAACTGAGCCCTCTAAAAATGTGAGCAAAAATAAACCTTTTCCCTTTAAGTTATGGGTGTCAGGTATTTTGTCCCAGTGATGGGAAAGTGACCTACAGAACATCTTCAGAGTCACTTTAATTCTTGGAAAAGCTGAAAATAAAAAATTGACAGCTAAATTTTAGTAAAAGGTGAAAGATTTATACGATCTGAAGAGAAACCATGGTATTGATTGCTAAATTTTACATAAGCCACAAAATATAAATGTAAACTTTAATTGCTATAACTGACAATGTTAAATATTTTTTGGTTCAAAAGATTACTTTAGGATAAATAAGTAGTACTTTCAATCATTCCCACAGTTAGTCTAAATAGCAAATTTGTGGGAATTGCAAAGATGTACTGCTTTCTCAGATGTTTTCTTCAAAACCCAGCTATATTTGTGACTTTTTCATTGCTGAGACAGTGTACCCAACGTACACAATTTAAAGGACCAAGCGGTTTATTTTGGCTCATGGTTTTAATAGGTTCAGTCCATGGTTTGCTGGCTCCAGGGCAGAAACAACATGACGGAAGGGACTGGGAGAGGAAAGGTGCTTATCCCATGACAGCCGGGAAACAGCAGGGAAACTGTGTCAGAGAAAAAGGGTCCAGGGCCAGATATACTGCCTAAGGTCATGCCTCCATGACCCACCCAGACACACCTAGAAGTGTGCTTTACTAATTGCCTAGAAGGCTCTCAAACTAATTAATCCAGCTGACCTTCCAGCTTAACTGTTACACAAGCTGAAGTGTCTCTTCTTCCTATAACTTCAAGCACATTTAATGTTCCAATTGTTAGGAGTGAATGCCTGAAGATAAAATACCCAAATGCGTATATTTCATACATGTTACCTAAAATGTATGAAATAGGCCGTTAGGCATAGAAGATGGTACCTGGAAAAAGTCTTCATATGTTTCTTCACTATGTCTTCATTTATCTTATTATTTAAGATGTTTTCCTTTTAGTCTGGAGAAGAATGGAGGTCCTTCCATAAATCCTGTCTTTAAAAAAGGTAATTTTTCTTTTTTTATTTTTGAGGTAGCCCTGGCTTTGTTTTGCTTTTTTTTTTTTTTGGTAGGTTCCAGGGATTGAACTCGGGTCCTTGCGCTTGCGCAGCCCGCAACAAAACCACTGAGCTAAATCCCTGGGCCTTTGTTTTGCTTTTCGCAACAGGGTCTCACTATGTAGCCCAGGCTGGCCTTGCACTCCCAGCAATCCTCCTGCCTCAGCTTTCCAAGTGCTGGGATTATGCCTGGCTAGCTGTGGCATTTTATAATTTTGTTTCATTTCTAAAAATTGGAAATGCAGAGGCAACCCAAAAAACCCTTTTTATCTATAAATTTTTCTTTTGCCTTCCATATTTAAGCCCACATTAACAATTTCTTATAAGGGCTTCCCTACTAATATCACTTGCCAGAGATCACTCTTTCCTTGCTTTTTCTTAAGGCAATCATAGAAATGTCATTAAAGAACGTGGATGCCTTACTGATCTTGCTATTGTTCTATTTCATGTACAACTGTCTATAAATTCTTAAGAGCAGAGACCATGTTTTCCACTGATACTCTATAGAGTTTAGTGTATAGTTAAAAGCTGCATGACCTACATCTGAGGAAGTAAGAGTTTAGATCCTATTACTCATCCCTTCCTATTAGACTTTTAATAGGAAATATAAATTACTTATTAATATTGTTCATGTATATGCTTGTTCATCTGTGCTAAATAAAGGATCAAACTCAATTTTACTTGGTTATGTTGTCCTACAGTCACAAGGATAGACCTATTCAGTCAAAATCAGTTAGGGAGAGACAGTAAAGAGGAGGAGGGACTTTATTTATTCAGGGAATATTTGCAGGAAGCTAGGTGTGGCTATGCTGTATTTGTGAGTATCATGGGTAGAAGAGTATTTTTTCTATAGCTTTTTAATAAAAGAATAATTTATGCAAAAGGATAAAATCAGTCCTACTCTTTCTTCACATTAATACTGGTTTCTAACAACAGTATTAAGCAGTAATTGTCTCGTGAAGTTCTTATATGTTTGTAGAAATATAAGAAAAAATAAGGACAATATAGGAAATTTCTGATAAAATTAATTTCATAAAATGTCAAGTCTGTCATTTTAAGATAATGTCTTTTACACTTTCTGTTGGTGTTAAAACATTCATTATTT